CCTGAAACCTCTGCTGATCCTACGCCGCCCTTTTGTTTCGGCCTCCCAATGAAGTGGTTGGGCCATTACAAGCGTGAGCCACCGTGCCTGCCTTTTTATTTTTTATATATTATTTATTGTTTGTTTGTTTTTTTGGATGGAGTCGTCGCTCTGTTGTCCCCAGGCTGGAGTGCTAGTGGCTGAGATCTCGGCTCACTGTAAGACTCCACCTGCGCTGCGGTTCACACCATTCTGCCTCCCAGCCTCCCTGAAGTAGCTGGAAACTACAGGCGCCCCACCACCTTTGCCTGGACTAATTTTTTTGTATTTTTTAAGTACACGATGGGGTTTCACCGTATTAGCCAGGATTGGTGCTCAACTCTCCTGCCTTGTGATGTGCCCGCCTTGGTCCTTCCCAGAGGTACTGATGTTTACAGCATGAGCCAGACTGCTCCCTGGCCACTATGATTTTTTCACTTATTTATTTATTATTTAGATGGTGAGTCTCGCTCTGGTCGCCCAGGCTGGTTGATTGCAGTGTCACCATCTACGCTCACTGCAAGCTCCGCCTCTGGGGGTTCATCACTTTCCTGCGAGGTGTTCTCAGGCCTCGTGAGTATATCTAGGGGACTACAGTTTGCGTCCGTTGCCACCGGACGCCCGCTAATTTTGTTTTTTTTTTTTTATTTTTTGTATTGTTGAGCGTAGGGGACAGCGGTGTTTCACCGTGTGGTAGCCAGGATGCGTCTCACTCTCCTGAGAACCTCGTGACGTGCGCGCAGCGCCCCCCTCCCCCCTCCTCAGCCTCAGTCTCCTGCCCAAAGCTGCTGGGATTACAGGTGTGAGGCCACCGGTGCCCGGCCTCATTTTTTAATTTTGTTGCTGTGAGGATGGAATCAAGCTATGTTGGCTAGGCTGGTCTCAAATTCCGTGGACTCAAGCAATTCACCACCACCCACCTCAGCCTCCCAGAGTGCTGGGAATATAGGTGTGAGCCACTACGCCCTGCCTAGGAGTCTCTTCAAGTCAAGTATGGTCACATCCTCCCTGCTTGACCCTCTCCCACCTGGGGCTCAGTTACTCTCTCCCCCTCACTCCCCCACAATCTTCCCCTGTCCTGGTCGGCTGCCTGGAGGGCCTACAGCCCTGTCTGCTCATTTACCCTTCAAAGTTCAACTTATCCTCGCTTCCCACAGGGGAGCACTCCAGAACCCCTGAGGTGCCCCACGCGACCTCCTCTCACTCATTTTTCAATTTTTTTTTCCTGAGATGGAGCAGGCTGGAGTGCAGCGGCACGATCTGGGCTCACTGCAAGCTCCGCCTCCCGGGTTCATGCCATTCTCCTGCCTCAGCCTCCCGAGTAGCTGGGACTACAGGCGTCTGCCACCATGCCCAACTAATTTTTTATATTTTTTTAGTAGAGTTGGGGTTTCACCATGTTAGCTGGGATGGTCTCCATCTCCTGACCTCGTGATCTGCCCAGCTCGGCCTCCCAAAGTGCTGGGATTACAGGCATGAGCCACAGTGGCCGGCGTTTTTGTTTTGTTTTGTTTTGTTTTTGAGAAGTCATGCTCTGTCACCTGGCCAGGCTGGAGTGCGGTGGCACCATCTCAGCTCACTGCAACCTCTGCCTCCCAGGTTCAAGCGATTCTCCTGCCTTAGCCTCCCGAGTAGCTAGGACTACAGGCATGTGCTACCACGCCCGGCTAATTTTTGTATTTTCAGTACAGAGGGGGTTTTGGCATGTTGGCCTGGCTGGTCTCGAACTCCTGACCTCAGGTGATCCGCCCACCTTGGCCTTCCAAAGTGTTGGGATTACATGCGTGGGCCACCACGGCGCCCAGCCTCTTTTTTTTCTTTTTTTTGGGGGGGAGGGAGCCTGGCTCTGTAGCCTAGGCTGGAGTGCAGTAGTGCAATCTCAGCTCGCTGCAACCTCCGCCTCCCAGGTTCAGGTGATTCTCCCACCTCAGCCTCCCGGGTAGCTTG